GGATGAGAAGTTCTGTCTGAGTGAGTCACACTAGATGCGCAGAGACCAGCCGTGCTGTCTGGGGAAGGGCGTCAGGCAGTATAGCCAATGGGAAAGCCCCATGGCCCGTGGCAGGAAAAGAGCTTACTGAGCTGGGGGGCGTGTGCCAATCGCTGGGGAGAAGGGCTTAGGAGAGGTTGGGCTTTGCCAATCACACGGTGGAACTGAGACTGTATTTTATTTTTTAAAATATTTTATTTATTTATTTGTCACAGGGGAGAGAGAGAGAGAGAGAACAAGCAGGGGGACCTGCCGACAGAGAAAGAAGTAGGCTCCCCGCTGAGCAGGGAGCCCCATGCGGGACTCAATCCCAGAACGCTGGGATCCTGAGCAGAAGGCGATGCTTAACCGACTGAGCCACCCAGGTATCCCCAAGACTGTATTTTTTAAAAGTTGTGCAAAGCCATTAAAGGGTTTCAGGCAGGGAATTGTGGGATCAGGTTTGTACTTAACAGTTTTAAAACTCCGTCCTTTGAAGAGGGGATTGTGATAGAGCCAGGGTAAAAGCGGAAAGACCAGTTAGGAAGTTGTTATTAGTAGTCTGGGCAAGAGATGATAGCCATGAAGAGAAATATGAATAGATGGAACATAGAGTTTATAGGTAGAAACGACTACCAGTCTTACTAAGAACTTTGAGGAACTAGGGATTTAAAAAATGAGAAAAATCAGTTTTATTTTTATTTATTTATTTTTAAAAGATTTTAGTTATTTTAGAGTGAGAGATTGAGAAAGAGAGAGCTCGAGCAGGGGGGGTGGGGCAGAAGGAGAGGGAAAAGCAAGCTCCCTGCTGAGCAGGGAGCCTGGTGCAGACTCCATCCCAGGACACTGGAATCATAACCTGAGCCAAAGGCAGACACTTAACCAACTGAGCCACCCAGGCATCCCAAGAAAAATCAGTTTCATTTTCAAGGATGCCCAGTGAAAGATAAATACATTTAAGAGTTTGCTATGTATCTTTCTGACTGTTGCTCTTGCTTTTACATTTTTACATGTCCTTATTGAACATATACAAAACTGGGCTTACCTGTCAGTGTGCCTGTTTTTAATATGAGTGGTATTATACTGTACAAGGTTCATTCAACAATACTTCTTGGAGATCTAGCTATGCTATTATATTTGTATAAAGGTCATTCTTTTAACAGGAACATAATAATATTCTATAGTATTAATATGCCAGAAGTAAACTCCAGTGGTCAGACTGCCCCCTACAATTCCTACTCCCCAAGCCCTTCATTTTCTAATTGGGCTTCCTTACCTAACTAAATTGTATTAACTTCAATAAAGAGGTAAACTGAGGCAAGCTCAAATTACCAGAAATTGAATTTTTTGGGAATAGCAAAAAAATTGCCATTCAGGAAACACATGCTGTAGCAAATTAGAGGTGAATCCATTGAGGGCTTGGGGTGGGCTGTATTTATGGGCAAGAAGGAAGTGCAGCCAGAGTCCAAGCAGCTTGAAGATGGAAAGTTCATCGGCTTGAAGATGGGAAGAGATTCTCAGTGCATGTTCATTGGTCTGGAGATAAGGCTTTGTCTTTTATAAATCAGGCATTTACAGGAAATCATCCTCAGTTCTTAAGTTCTGCTCTTTCGAGGATGCGTGTGTGAGATTCTCCACTGCATATCCTCCAGTTCCATTTTATTTTACTTATTTATTTTATTAAGTAAAGTGTATCCCTAACGTGGGTGGGCCTCAAACTCACAACCTGGAGATCAAGTCTCATACTCTACCAATTGAGCCTGCCAGGCGCCCCCCTCTGGTTCCATTTTAGATTGAAAGCCTTTCACAGTGTTAAATACTTTATAAACCAAAACATTGCCTTTTATTTTCTTGGTAGTCATTTTGTAAAAGGGCCCTGCACACAGGAACTTACCAAATGCTCACAACAGCCTGATGACGAAGAGGCAACAAGCCTCCTGAATCCTTTGCCCTTGAAATGTCCCTTCCTGGTGTTCTTAACACAATTTGAATAGGCCTTGAAACTGTGGGCCTGCAACCTAAGGCGGTATGTCATCTGGGTGCTCTGAGCAGGGAAATAATGAAAAATAATGTTCAGTTGATGTCACAAGCCATTCACCATTCAGACAGTGATGGTTTTCAGGGTGGACTGAAATGAGTTTGTTTTCTTCTGCTTCGAAACATCCTGGAACAGTTGCCTGCCTCCTGAATTCTGAGGCTGGCTGCGCAGGGGTAAGGTGATGGGTGAGTTAATATTGAAGCTAGGGTTTTCCCCCAACATTTTATTATGGAAAATTTCAAACAAACAGAAAAGTTGAGAGAATTGCCCAGTGAACACTCCTACACTCACTACCTACATACAATTATTATTTTACGGATTACTTTATCACCTAATCCGTTCCATTCACAGATGCCTTGTCTTTTTTTTAATTTAAAAAAATATTTTTAATTTTTAAAAGATATTTATTTATTTGGGAGAGAGAGAGAGAGCGAGCATGTGAGTGTGAGGAGGGGGAGGGAGAGGAGGAGGGGCAGAATGAAAGGGAGAAGCAGACTCCCTGACTCCCTGCTGAGCAGGGAGCCCTATGTGGGGCTCCATCCCAAGACCCCCCAGGATCATGACCTGAGCCAAAGGCAGATGCTTCACAGACAGAGCCATCCAGGTGCCCCTAATTTTTTTTTTTTTTTTAAGAGAGAGTAGAAGTGGGGGAGGGGCAGAGGGAGAGGGAGAATTTTTAAAAAAATTTTTAAAGACTTATTTGTTTATTTTAGAAAGAGAGAGCACATGCAGCGGGAGGGGCAGGGGGAGAGGGAGAGAATCCCAAGCTGAGTGCACAGCTGGTTGCAGGGCTGGATCCCACCACCTGAGATCATGACCTGAGCCCAAATCAAGAGTCAGCCCGCTTAACTGACTGAACCATCCAGCTGCCCGAATTTACCTTTTTTTGATGCATCTTAAAGCAAGCTGCAGATACCATGATAGTGTACTGTACCCCTAAACTTTCAGCATGAACACCATGAACTGGAGTTTAGTATTACTAACTTTCAAAAAAAATATTTGAGGGAAATTCATATCCAGTAAAATGTGCAGATCTCAAGTGGACCATCCCACCAGTTTGACAAACACCTACATGTGGAACCCAAACCCCTATCAGTAGCTGCTACCATCATGATGTTAGACTTTGATCAGGGGATCACAGCCTTTAAGATTCCCATCCTGGTTTGGTGAGAATGGCTAATAATCTGTAAAACCTCAGTAGAGAGAGGAGTCCTAAATGAAGCATACCAATCTCTCAGGAGACTGTCCTGATGGAACCTGACCAGAGTCTGGACTTCAGGCGGGACTCAACTTGGGGGAGGCTATTTCGTTTTGTAGCTGTCTAATGTTGCTGTTTAGATACACAAACTTTTTATTTTTCATTTTAACACATCACTCTGCATTCAAAAGAACACAGAGAATCTGGGGGGAAAAAAAAAGAGAAAATTAACTGGAAAAATGGGACTGCAAGGGGCATGTTTCCAGGGAAAAGCACATTCCTTAAGGCATCTCTGGCTAAGAGCTGCATGGCATGCAAAGAATTTGATAATACGCACATTATGACCCATATCACACAAAAATTATGACTCATGTTACGAAAGCACAGCACTTGTGAAGGGTCCTGAGAAACAGCGCTGGGCTTTTAAAAACTGTTTTAGAAAGGCCGACCAGGAGTGCACAACTTTCAAAAAAAAAAACAAAAAACTGGAATGTGCACTCCACCTTACTAAACACCAACCCCCTCATTGTCGTCAACAATGAAAACGACAGTTTTCAACAATAGTTGAAAACGCTGAGTCGAGTTTTTTTGTTTTTTTGTGTTTTGTTTTTTTGTTTTTTTTTTTAAGTGTGAAGCCCAAATCAACACTCATTCTTTTGGATGCTGCTTAAATTTTTCATGGGTAATACAAATGCTAGCGATATCAATTTTGAAAACTATGGAACATTATATAAACGAAAAAAGCAAGGTTATAATCCCACCATGCAGAGATGAGCCCTATTAACAAACTTTTTGTATTCAAACTTTTCCCACTGCGAATAGTTTCCATTTTGATAGCTCATTTAGACAACCATTCTTTTTAACAACCAGTACTTTTAAACAAAAATTACAGAAAATATTAACAGTCCCTCTTTTTTTCCTCTAGCAGATGGGATCCAGAAATTGTTGAAGGAAGAAAGCGTTCTTAATTTAAAAAAATAAAAAAGTTGCACAGAAAAGTATTTAAAAAGAGAAATAGAAAACATTACGCCTTTATTTTGGTGAATTAGCAACAAAGAAAAGGATTAGCTTGGACGGGTTCTTTTCAAAAATATTTTTTTTCCTCTGGCTCCCGCTAGGGTGGAGGAAGTTGTCTCTGTTCGGAGAGGGTGGAATAGAGTGGAAGAACAAATAACTGGGAGGCTCTGCCTCTTTCGGGAGAGCGGGGGTCGGCTGCGGGCGGGGGGGGGGGGGGGGGGGGCGGGGAGGGGGGCGGGCAGCAGGGGCCTGGGCTCCAGCCCCCTACCCCCACCCTCACCCCCTCCCTCATCCTCACCCAGAGCTTGGCCTCGCCCCCTGGCGGGCGAGCGTTAGGTGCCGAGGCGCGGGGGTGGGGGGCACAAACCCCGCGGGCAGCGGGAAGGAGGCCGAGGGGGCCGCCCGGGCCCGACACACACCGAGAGGTCGGCACCCCCCGGCACCCCTAGTCCGCAGACCCCAGGAATATGTCCGCGGCCGGGGCGCGGAGTAGAGCCCCGGGGAGGAGAACCGGGGGAGGGCGTGTGCAGTGGCCGCGGCGGCAGCGGAGCCGCTAGTCCCCTCCCTCCTGGGGGAGCAGCTGCCGCCGCCGCCACCATCAGCGCGCGGGCCGCGGCCGGAGCGAGCCCGGCGAGCGGCGCGCGCGGGGGAGGGCGGGGGCGGGGAGGGGGGTGGGCGAAGGGGGCGGGAGGGCGTGGGGGGAGGGTCTCGCTCTCCCGGCGACCAGAACCCGAGAGGGAGACCCTGGCGGCGGCGGCGGCGGCGCCTGACACTCGGCGCCTCCTGCCGTGCTCCGGGGCGGCATGTCCGAGGCTGGCGGGGCCGGGCCGGGCGGCGGCGGGGCAGGGGCCGGGGCAGGGGCCGGGCTCGGGGCTCTGCCCCCGCAGCCCCCCGTGCCGCCGCCCGCGCCGCCGCAGGGCTCCCCGTGCGCCGCCGCCGCCGGGGGCTCGGGCGCCTGCGGACCGGCGACGGCAGTGGCGGCGGCGGGCACGGCCGAAGGACCAGGAGGCGGCGGCTCGGCCCGGATCGCGGTGAAGAAGGCGCAACTGCGCTCGGCTCCGCGGGCCAAGAAACTGGAGAAACTCGGAGTGTACTCCGCCTGCAAGGTACTCGCTCGCCGCTCCCCGGCCGCCCAGGGGGGCTAGGGCCCTGCCTGCGGGACCCCCGCCCCCTCCCCCTCCAGCCCCCGTCCCCGCCTCCCTCCTCCCGCCTGGGGCCGCTGCACCGCGGAAGTGCTGCTGTCGCCCGCGCCCAATTAGCTGCTTCTCGGACCAGAGCCCTGTTGGGTTGGACGGAGGGGATCGCGGAGATCGGGAGCCTTTCATTCTTGCCCCTCTGCGTCTGCGCTCCTAGGCTGCCCTGGGGCTTTGTTGCTCTGTAGGAGCTCGCCACAGGCACCTTTCAGAGAGTGGAGCAGCGCTAAGTGGAGAGCGCCCCAGAGCCAAGGAAACCTCTTTTGGGGTATCTGAGCGCCCCCTCTTTCCCCGTCCTCTCCGCGTGTCCCATTGGGAGGAGCTGAGTGGAAAGAGTGAGAATGAAATAGGCTTCAGGACTCCCAGCGCTTTGGGAGCTCGAAGGGGCGGAACGCGCGGGGAGGGAACATGGGCACAGCCCGAGGCGAGGGTCCAGGAGCTCCCGGCTCCCTGGGCTGAGGGCGGAGGCGCTGCTGCGCGCGGTGACAGCCCGGTCATTATTGTATTATTACTTGTTTAGTTAAAACGCTGTCCCAGCTGCTCGAGGTGTAAACAGGATTTGGCAAGGTGACAGCCCAGCGCGGCGGGCCCTACTGCTCAGTTTGAGGACACGCGTTTCTTGCCATCCCCTTTGCGTCCCAGCTCTCGGCCCCCCGTAGCTCCTCAGCTGCAGATCCAGATGTGGGCGCCGTGCTCCCAGGGTGAGAGGATTGCCCGAGGCCGCGGGGCAAGCTGGCCCTGCGCTGTCAGCAGCGGCTTTGTTTTGACAGGGTGACAGCTGAGGGGGGCGGGGACTTGGCCTTGTCAGCTCCTGCGGCCTGTGGCTGAGGCGGGGAAGAGACACACACTCACACACCTCCCATGTATATCTCCGGCCTGCTGCAAACAGGGTCAAGTTCCCAGATTCCAGATTCCCACAGCCAAGCTCCAGGGGCCACTTCTGAATTTTAATGTAAAGATTATTAATTCTGCTGGAACCTCTCTTCCCAATGAACCTGTTTTTAGTATTTACTGGAGCTTCTCAACCTCTGGAGAAGTCTGTGCTTACCCTTTTTCCCACACCATTCACATCCTCACCTATATGTTGAATGCCTACTGTGTACTTAACGCTATATTAATATTTAATAAATATTTGTTGGACAAATGTAGGATCTAGCTCTAGTGCTTTTCAAACTTTAAGGTGCATAGGAATCACCTGGGGAACTGTTAAAATTCTAATTCTGAATCCATAGGCCTGGGTGGGGGTCCGGTGAGATTCTGCATTTCTAATGAACTCTGAGCTGATGTGATGCTGGTCCAGTGACCACACTTCAAGGAGCAAGTCCCTAATGCAGACCCGGGCAATATATTATAATCCCTTTCGAATTTGATCAAGAAAGCAAACTTCCCTCCTCTGAGAGCAATACATGGTTGGTATTTATGGAGGACTGCAAAAAAGATAGAGGGGAGTATACTTCTAAGAAGGGTGATGGGCCAAGAGGTGGTTATAAAGGACATTAAGACTAATGGCAAGACCTGGAATGCAGTAGGCAGAAGGGAGAACTGTGCCCAGAAATGAAAATAAGCTCAGTTCCTTGGTGGACCTGATGTTCCACAGCTGGAATGGGCTCACATAGGAACTGTCAGTTCAGCTTTTCTGTCCTGGCTTTTTATTGCTTCCCATGATGAACACTTTCTTTCCCAGCTACCTGCTGTTGCCTTAATACCTGAAAACTTCCCTGAAGTTTTGGTTCCCCAAACCATGAGCCTGTGTTATGTGCTCTGCATTGGTATTTTTGGTCCTTTCAGATTTCCAGGAGTGAAATATTAGGCCCTTTTCTAACATTTGTGACTTGAGGGGTCCTGATTACATTAACAACCAAACTTTTAGGAAGGGAAAACTTCTCATCAAAGGCCTCTTTTACTGGTCCTGGGAGACTCTGGAAGTGTCTGTTTTCATTTGCTCATTCATTCACTAAATACTTAAAGGAGTCTCAACTAGGTGCCAGGCATTGTGCTGGATGCTGGGACTATGACCCCCAGAATGTGTCTTTCTGGAGCTACTGAGTGTGTGTATATGTGTGCGTGCATGTGGGCATGTGTGGGTTTGGGGCCTGGGGAGGTGGGCAGTGAACCATTTACAATGATGTGGAAAAAACCTGCTTTCTCAAGGTGGTGTTAGAACTCAGAGGAGAGCAGTTCTTGGGCTGGAGCATGGGTGGGGTAGGAATGGCTTCCTGGAGGAAGTGTCAGTGGGTGCTAAGGACTCTTGGCAGCACAGGGTAGGGTGACGCGAAGCTTCTTGAAGTGGAGAAACTGAAAGCACTTGTGAAAGCTTGGAGCTGGGCCAGAAGGAGCTAACACCGCCTTGGCAGAGGCCACCAGGTTGGGGGGCAATGTGTGTGGCCAAGAAGGCATTGTGGAATCCAGGAATTTTAACCTGGGGAGTGACATTCTCTCTGATTTGCCTCCCCCCCCCCCCCGCTTCTTTTTCTTTATTAAACTGCTTGGTTGGGTGTGAGAGGAGTGTGAGAGAGCAGATCTGTGGTTCTTTCTCAGCTTGTCTCTATCCTTCACCTAAGAAAGCCCCAAAAGGACAGATTCTTCTGCCTTTTGTCACTGATGGGCCCCTTGGCAAATTGGGGGGAGTTGAGAGGTGAGAGAATGAGGAGGGACCTGGAAAGAGATGAGTAGTTTACTGGGGGCTATTAAAAGAAAAACAGGTCCCAGACCTGATAAAAGATCTGGCCTTTAAACTTCACAAATGAAACAGAAGGAGGAGGGAGCTAGTTCACAGCTCTGGTGGTATGCCACACCCTGGAGAGGAAGAAAAAAAAAAAGAAAGAAAGAAACAAACAAACTTGTTTTGCAGGATCCAGGGTAGAGTTCTTTGAGCTATGTTCTGGCAAAGGTTGCTTCAGAGAGTCCCTTTGGTTCTGTGTGACCCAGTCAGAATAATCATTAAAAATGTATCTAACTATGTTATACCTCTGCTTGGGACCCTTCATTACCCTTTGCTGTGGTCCACAGTGCCCTGTATTGCCTGACCACTACGCCTGGCTCCTTTTCAGTCTTCGTGAGCGTGGTTCCCTTCTACCTCAGGGCCTTTGCACATACTGTTTACTGGGATTGAAAGCTCTTCTTGACTCACTTTCAAATTAACTCCCCACTCTTCCTGCACATGTAACATTCCTTGCATTTCCTTTACCTGACTGGCCAGCCCTCCCATTGTAAATTGTTTGGAACCCCCTTGTGCTTATTTTTCCTTCCTAGTGCTTTTATCACAATTTTTAAGTGTGTGATCATTTGGTATGTGTTTGTCTCTGAATGGATTCTAAGTGTTGCGGTTCTTGACTGGGTAAATGAACTAGAGAAGAGGAAATGATTAGTTCTTAAGGAGAGTAGTAGTGAAATTTTAGCCTGCTTCTTGACAATTGGATAGAGGGAATTCTTTAACATTGTACATTTCTAGGTATCTCACAGGGGTCCACCAGACTGGGTTTTTAGTGTTACAGAAAAAAACAAAGTAAATGTATGAGTAGGCCAAATCTCAGTCTCCTTGAATTTAAGTATAATTTATCTACTAAAAAACCCCACTGACTCTTCCTAATGAAACAGGCCATTTATACCTGAAAGGAAGTACTAGGGTATAGTAGCCAAGAGCATGTGCTTCTGTGTTTAGATTTCAGGATGTCCAGCAGTGTGACCTTGGACAGTAACTTTGCCTCAGCCTCCATTTCCTTGTGTGTAAAGTAGGAATAATACTACTGTCTCATTGCATAACAGGGAGGATTTAAACTGGGCTCATATGTATGAGGCATCCAGGTAAGCCCTTACAGCAGCCCAGAGTGGGGAATACACTGCTAATGTAGAAGTCAGGAAAGAACGTAGGATTTAGAGAATCTCAGATCTCAGCTCTGCCACTGTATGAGGCTGGGCACAAGTCATTCAGTTTTTCCCTGAGCCTTGATGACTTCCTCTGTAAAATGGAGACTATAACTTCAACCTTGAGGTTAAAAGAGAAAGGGTCCTCCAAAGTTCCTGGAACCTAAAAGTGTTGGATTGATGCTGGGTAAGTGGAATTGCTGCATTGTCTGTCAGTCCATGTCCACAGAGCATTGATGGAGAACCTTGTTGCTTTGATTCTGGGCTGATTGCCATACTTGGAGTGTGACACGGGCTATAAAATTAGGCTTCACTTAAAAAAAATAATGGTTTATAATCTAAAAGTAACACTGATTGTAGAATATGCAGAGGACAGAGGCAGAGAAAAATGACCTGCCTACCAGCCAGGAGCTGGTGAATGGGGCACTAGAGCAAGCCTTAAAACCGGGGAGAGCCCACAACACCGTTGTATTTGTCAGTCACTCCTCCAGAGAGCAAATTTCTTTTTCAACTGTCAAAATCTTGAGCAGTGGATCTTACCCAGAAGCTATTTTTACCCCCAACTCCCCAGGGGATATTTGGTGATGTCCGGGGGCATTTTTGGTCATTGTCAACGTGGGTGAGGGAGTGTTACTGGCGACTAGTGAATAGAGGCCCAGGATGTTACTAAGTATCCCACTCTGCACAGGCCACACTGCGCAACAGTTATCTGGCCCCAAGTGACAGTAGTGCTAGAGTTGAGAAACCCTGTTTTAGAGGAAAACTGTATTGACCCATAATACTGTGAATACATTTGCAGCATAGGAAAAAGTAATGCTTTTAAGGTTAATTTGCATAACACTTGAAACCTGAAAAATGTCACTTTGTGAATCATGGGGCATATTTCTAAAGAGCTTTACTGTGGTATAATTTATAGATCATAAAAGTCACCAGCTGTAAGTGTGCAGTCAGATGCTTTTGAGTTAAGGTACATAGTTATGTGTCCATCACTACAGTTTAGTCTTACAACTCTTCTGTCTCCCTAAAAACTTTCCTCTGCCCTGGGCACC